CAAAAAACCTCAAGGCTGACTTCAAGGAGTTAAATGACAGCCAGGTCACGGAAGATATTATTGTTGGCTCAGCTGATGTGAAGGCGCTATACCTAAGTTTGGACATTGGCTTTACAGTAGAGAAAGTTTGTGAAGTCTTCTACGCAAGTGGTGTAGAAGTGGTCGGGTTAAATGTTGAGGAATTGGGATTATATCTTTCGCCGAACAGATGTGAGGAGGAGTTGAGAAATCTGGGTTTACTGAGGTTTTGCCCACGACGCAAGACTAAAAGAGGCCGATCTCCCACCATCACAGGTTGCGCTGTAGATGAGAACAGAACCAAGAGATTTCAACCTTGGCTACCACCGGTTGAGCAGCCGGACAAGGTTACTACCAGGAAGATGTTCACAGAGGCGATGAAGGTTGTCCTATTGTTTATCATGAAGAACCACCTCTACACATTCGACAATGACATCAAGCTGCAGACAGAGGGAGGTCCGATAGGGCTTGAGCTTACTGGGGTCTTGGCCCAGTTTTTTACGGTCTGGTGGGACAGGCAAATGGTGAAGAGGCTGGAAGAAAGTGGGGTGGGGTTACGGGTGTACAGGAGATACGTGGATGACATAAATGTGGTTATGAACGCTTCCGCGGCTGGTATCAGATTTCAGGAGGGACGTTTCACCCAAGATGAGAACTTTGCACAAATAGAGCAAAACCTCAAGCTAGATAATCGATGCATGCAGTTGTTTCAGTCGATTGGAAACAGCATACACCCTTCTATAAGGTTAGAGGTCGACTGCCCGTCACGACACGTGGATGGAAAAATACCCATACTCGATTTAAAACTCTGGATAGAAAGGAGAAGGCGTGAAGGTGATGATGGGCAAGACCGTGATATGCAGTTCGTGTTACATGAGTTCTACTACAAAGATGTTGCCTCCAGTTCTGTGATAAATGCAAGATCGGCCTTACCGTGGAGTTGCAAGAGAACCATACTTACGCAGGAAGTGTTAAGGATTCTACTCAACTGTAGCAGGGAGTTACCCTGGGAGGTTGTTGTTGCTCACGTCAACCACATGATGTTACGTCTTCAATATTCTGGTTACTATTAATGGAATTGTTATTAACGGAAGCTGCTCGTGCGCTCTTTAAAGATTTTTTAAGTCATATTTGTTTGGAATAGAGGACATAACGTCATATGATTTCTTTGTAATAGCTTCTTATAGAGCTTCTCTGTACACTTGCAGCGCTGGTATCTTTTAGTCCAAACACATTTGAGCTAAAAGGGAAGTGAAATAATGTTAGCGGGATACACTCCAATAATAATAAAAACGAGTATTTCATCGCATTTCGACCCTTAAATGAATGATTAATTCGTTGCGCGAGAATATATTATCACAACATGTACACTTAAAGTTGATACATATTGATTCATAACTATGTTTCTGTTGTAAAAGTAGCAATCAATGGAAGCGAAAAAGAAATGCAAAGTGAATGCATGATCCTGAGGAAGAAACATTTTTATTTCTGATAAGAGCTCCAAGTAAATTGTGGTACAATTTTAGAAATTATATAATTTTTAGAATTGTAGAAACCAGTTTGAGGTTTAAGAACGGAAAACACATTTTCGAACTAGATCCTGTCATGGAAGCAAAAAGGAGAGATCATTTGACACATTTCACAATCATATCAAGGCCTTACGTGCACATATTGTCTGGCAGAACTATCAAGGCTTCCAGTTTTCAGTTTCTACACTTTCGAAAACCCCTTTAAGGACGTCTAATTAAAAAGAAAAGCGAAGATCACCTTGGCCGTGAAATGAAAACCAGTGTCGATCTTGCAGACAAAACAGTTTATATCTCTTTTTTTATATTCAGTTCATGATTTCCCAGCAGTTACCCTTCGATCTTCTGAAACTGCTCAACCACAGATCATAAAAGCATTATAGTACTATAGCTTTAATTCAAAATAACGATGGTTGTTTTTATCAAAGATTTATGTCACATATATCCGTTTTCGTGCAACTGTAATTACTTCCCCTTCAGATTTACACATAAAAATAACATTACTTCCAGTTTCTTGCTAGCGTTACATCATACCCTTGTTAACATCTGATGGCTAATTGATGGTAGTCCATTAGCTACCTCATGTAACATTCCACCAAATCACATTGGTACCAGACCACCTAATTCTCTTGATGGTAACTACTAAAATAACAAGAGAAATTACTCATGATCAAGTAAAATTTAATAAAATGCAGTGTGCATAGTAATATCTTATGTAATGAGTAATGTAATGAGTAATGTAATGATATAATGTAATAGGTAAGAAAATGTTTTTATAATTTTTCAGTCATGAATGGCTCACTTTTTTGTCATCTTGAAATAGCATAGGCAGCGTCTAAAAGTGATTTTTATTTCTCGTGTGGTGTGACGGAGAATCTCTCTGCGCAGAGACAACTCAAGAGTTTAATAAATACTAAAGAACATATGTACGGTAAACAACCTTCTAACTGTAAAGCTGCTTCCATTTATTTTACGTAGGATTTGACTGAAAATACTCCCCTTAATCTTAAAATAGAACAGTTTTATCTGCCGATCACTACTCAGTTCACTACTCTTTTGATAAAGTTTACTCGATTTCTCAAACAAACATTTCAAAATTAAGAAAACCTAATTCATCATCGAAACTGCACTTCTGCAACGTGAGTCAGGATGCAGCATACAACGGAATTGCTAAACGGATAAAGAAACTCAGGAAGAAATGCGGTAGTTTCCCAATTTTAGAGATTTACTTCAGCGCCAAATTAGGAACACTCGATAGTCTATAAGGAGGAAGAAATCTCTTCTCGGCATCAAAATCAACTTCAAGAATAAAAGAAAACATAGAAACAAGCTGTGAAGAATCTTTACAGAGGCCAACAAGAAATTCTAAGGAATTGAGCTATGGACGCTTACAAGGTGAGACAAAGTAACTTAGTTTTTATTAAACGACTCCGTGCTTAGAATAATTCCTTCATTTCTTCAATTCTATTCTTCAATTTAATATTTTTTAAATGGTTTCATGTGAGTGGCAACATGGCAGACTTGATGACCTTTTCTGGTTAAATAATTTAGAAATACTTTTGAAACAAGATATTATAGTTTATAATCTCAAGTTATGCTTAAGATTTCTATTGAGCTGTAGTTTAAGGGTATTCATTCAATACTATTACAATATATATTGTTGATAATAAATTTACAAAGGATCTATTTATTCTAGGTTCTCGTCGTTATCCTTGCAATTTTTCTTCACCGTGGTTATTGCCGAGCAACTGCTTTTGACAAAATCACGCGTAGAATTCAAGATGGCGGAGTCCAGTACACGCAGGGTGCTGCCGCATGGAGACAAAAGAGGTCCCCTGGTGACGAGCCAAGCTGTTACACTGGTGCACATGCGTCACTCACTTTGCCAAGCAACAAGACAGTTGCTGTTCCCATTTGTAAGCAGGTTACGTCTTCCGCAACTGCATGTTTCAGCTCGATGGCAAACAACAACCACCAGAGGAAATGTGTGCCGTCCCATATAATTTCAGTGGAAGGAATGGCGTTTAGTACAGCCTGTTCATGTGCACCATAGAATAATTAATACTGAATACTTTTGCCCTTAAGAAAGTGTCAGGAACACAAGCAAGGACTTTATTTATATCGACCGTTGAGTCATTTATATTCGTAGTATGTCCATATCTGTCGGATATTTATATACATGTAAATATTTTACGAACTTAGCTGTATTAAAAAAAACCCTCACCGATCTATTTGCACGCTGGTTTGCGCGTAACCTTTACTTCCTTGATAAAACTCTTCGAGTTGTGCAGCTGACACTAAGCAGGAATGACACATTATGCTTTAGTCAACATCGACTGCGTCAGAAATAATCAAGTGGAAATTTCTCGTTGGTGAATACGATTCTTCCTTAAGGGGCGTATTTAGTCAAGTGGTCAGTGCACTGGACTCTGGGTCAGACGACTCGGGTTCGAGTCCTGACCGGGACATGGCGTTATGTCCTTGAGCAAGACGCTTCTCTCGCAATGCTTCGTCTTCTCGCGATCGGATAAGACGTAAAGCCGTAGGTCCCGTCTCATGCAGGGTTAGGGGTAGGAGACGTTTCCCACGCACGAGATTACGGTGTGGTGGATGTCCTTCCCTGGGGTGGGATGGGTGGAAAGGTGAAATCGATACATGGACTGAAGCGGCTGCAAGAGGCGCCTGATAAAATGCAGACGTCCGATCTTAACCTTAACAACTCGCAATTCAGCATTAATTGCTGCAAGTAATTGTTCTGAAAACGATTCACGATTTACGATTTACCTCATCAGGAAAGTAACACAATTGACGAGGCATTAATTACCTATAATTTTAATTGCTAAAAAAAGACAAATTTCGATTGCTAACAGTTGCTTTATGTTTTAAGGATGAATGTTCGATTTATTGCTCTCGACGTTACTTAATAAGGTTTTTCCTTTTGGTCTCAAATCTTCGATGTGACATGATAATACTTTGCTCTGGTCGTTTGCTTTCGATTTTTACAGAATCTGGGTCTTTATTTGCCTGAAATATTTACGGACCATAACCCCACGTTCCAAAGCTTTATCAATTTGATTATATCTGGCATTGAATCTTTCGGCGAAGACTGAATTAATGCATAGTTACGAATTGGTGATAAGTTTCTCTAAACATTGTTAACGACAGTCTCCATGAACGATGTCAAAAAGTCATAAGAAAATAAAACTAAAAAAATTAACAGTACACAACCATTAACTCAAACAAAGGCCTCTGCCCCCCGCTGCCAGGCTTTGACTCATTCCAGCGGCCCTGACAATGACTTCATGGAAAACAAAGTTTATTGAAGAATCATAACATAAACTATCAACCCTCGGCGCTTGCGTAACAGCCACATGATGCTTAGGAGTGTCTAGAAGCCAAAACCGAACAACAAGCAGCAAATATCATTCTTTTCCACGATGTGCAGAATTAGAGTTCTGCAAAAGATTAAAAGCGTTATAATCATTTCACCTCTGCAGGATCATAGTTGACTGCACAATCAAGGTATTTCACTTTAGAGCGCATCTCAGTTATTATTTATCATCGAATCATATTTGTCAAATCCTTCAACTTTTCCATCTTTTAAGACCAAAATCCTCTGGCAGTCTCTCTAATCGTGTTCAAACGGTGAGCTATAGTGATGACAGTGGACTCCTTCAGTTTGTCCCGCACTACATTCCATATCGTCTGCTCTGTGTCTGGGTCAACATGCGCAGTTGGCTCGTCCAAGACGACTCTTTTACTTCGCTGTAGCAGCACACGAGGTAAGCAAATTAACTGCCGCTCTCCGACACTGACATTAGCGCCTTGTTCCAGCAGTTCGTGGTCGAGCTTGGCCTCAAATCTCTGGACTAAATCTTTCAGTTGCACATCTTCTAAAGCCTGCCATAATTCAACGGCTTCAAACTTGTCTAAAATGTCAAGATTTTTTCTCAATGATCCACTAAAAAGAACTGGACTTTGGCCAAGAACCGAGATACCTCGTCTCGCTTGTTGGAGGTTTATCTCTTTAACTGGAACATCGTCGATGATTATCTCTCCATTAGCATCTGGCATGCGCATAAGAGCTGCCACAAAAGATGACTTCCCAGCTCCCGTGCGGCCGACAACTCCGATCTTTTCTCCTCCTTTGATGCTAATATTTACTTTCTTCAGCACTTGAGGACCCCCTCTAAATATAATTCTTCCTCGCCGAGGCCAATCTTTTGGGGGTTGTCGCTCTTCCTCGTATCCAGGCTCCCGGTCGAGTTTGGTGTAGGTTATAACTCGCTCAATTGACGTCATGTAGTTTTCCACTTCAGAGGTTTTTCTAACAGTGTACTGAGTCATGCCCAGAGTTTGGATAACGTAAACAAGAGCGAGACCAGCATAAGCTGAAAACAAAATCAAAACTTATTTTTATAAATTTAACACCAGTCTTCTACCATTAGCCTTAACCTTCAAGGGAAACTTTTTTAAAAGGTGTTGGTCACTTAGTCTTGTTAAGGCAGTCAGTTAATGGGAAAGAAAGAAACCTTTTTTATTACTATTATATATCAGCTCTTTGTTTTAGTCCTCTTTAAATTAACAAACCAAATTTCACTTTTGAATCATAGAAGACGCGTGAATATGATTCTGCATTTACCTGACTGAATGAATCTTAATCAAGGACTCATGTTAGTCATTTATGTTTCGTCCAAATGTTAATTGATGCACTTCTTATAAGATGAGTAAGATGATGAAATGGTAAACGTTCTCTCCGTCTCTTGTTAGGCTCCTTCAAATCATTTTGGAACCAGACAACATTTTTCCCACGAAAGTAGCCAATACAAAATCTTTTTAAAAATGTTTTTTCCTTTTCAGTCAAAAAATTACCTTGATTTGTAGGAACTGTTAAAAGTTGATGAATAAATAGAATAAACAGAGGATGCAACATGATTTTTGTTCTTCGTGTAATGCAGCGTAGAATTTCTCTACGTGCTCATCGATTCTATAAACCAAACAGGTTTCTAATGGCAAAATGTTACACCTAAATACCCTCTTATCTCTTAAAATAGAACAGTTTCATTCGTTAATAGTATCAAATTAATTTTCAAACGGAGTCTTATGAATTTCTTTAAAAAGACGTTTTGAGGTCCCGTTAGTAGATAAATCAGAGAAATTCTAATTTATCATTGAAACAGGAACAACATGAAACTCAGGAAGAAAAGCGGTAGTAACCCAATTTTAGATATTTACTTCATCGCCAAATTAGGAACACTCATTTCTATAAAAGTAGAGAGAAACGTTCTTAGAATCAAAATCAATTTTGAAGAAGAAAAAGAAACATAGAAACAAGTTGTGAAGAATCTTCACTGAAACCAACAAAAAATACTAAGGAATTGAATTATGGAGGTTTACAAGGTAAATCGTTGAACCTTAGTTCTTGTTAAACGCGTGTATGAGATTTCATTTCCCCACTAAATGTTTTTCACAATGGTTTTACCTGGCAACAAGGCACACTTTCTGTACTTTTCTGATTGAATCATTTAGAAATACTGTTGGAATATAAAAAAGTGTCTATTTTAGACCTTTATTTAAGTGCAGTATTATCATCAAAACAATTGAATATATACTGTCGATAACAAGTTGACAAAGGATCTGTATTTTCTAGGTTCTCTTCGTTATCCTCGCAATTTTCTTTCACCGTGAAAATGGTCAGTCGACTGAGTTTAACAAAATCGTGCATAGAATTCAAGATAGCGGAGTCCCTTCCACGCAGGGTGCTGCCGCATGGAGACAAAAGAGCTCCCTTGGTGACGAGCCCTAGCCTACAAGTTTCCGATGAATCGCAAAAAAGTTGCCGATAAAAGTGTCTAAAGGTTTCCAAAAAGTTGCTATTTTTTTCAAAAAGTTGGCGAAAAGTTGCTGAATTTCCAAAAAGTTGCCGAAAAGTTGCCAAAATTTTTCTGCTTTTCGTACCTTTTTCGGGTGTTAAAGATTAAAAATTTGCACAATGCTTCTTATCAAAACTTTATTTGTCAAAGTCCAGTGATGATATCAGAGGTTCTTTTCATTTCACTTGATCAACAAATAGTCTATCAGAATGACAAGATTCATCTGAGTTGGATGTATTGGAATCACTGTAATTGTTCGCCATCTTGAAAAATGTGCAACGTGATACCGCTGACCTCGTGATAAGGCATCACAAAAATCAACCCATAGGGGGTGGGGGGCCCTAATTATTGTATTTTAGAATAAATTGAATAAATTTCTATCGAAAACTGACCAATGAGGCTCAAAACGTGAAGGAAGTGGTTTCAAAGAACCTCAAAAAGCCCAAAGTTGCCGAAAATTCTAAAAGTTGCCGAAATTCTAAAAAGTTGCCGAAAATCTCAAAAGTTGCCGAAAAGTTGCCGAGCAACTTGTGGCTAAGCCTAACGAGCCCAGTTGTTATCCTGGCAGAGTTTTGTCATTTACTTTGGCGAGCAACAAGACAGTTACTCATAGGCGTACGGGTCGGGGGGTGGCGGGAAGGGCTGCAGCCCCCCAAATTTAGGGCAACTCTGACTTTTTGGGCAGCACGAGAAATTTGGACAAAGCTAGTTTTTTAAAAAAGCTTGCATGTGTCTGTGTATTCTTTTTCGAAGATATAGTTTCTGTTTCAACATGAAGTCGGCGTTGAAAATAGGTTCGATTTCCACCGTCTCCCGGGTTCGGTCTTTGATCTTCCCCTTCGGGGGATGAATGCGCGCTTATTTTCCCTAGACAGTGGTTGCTTAGCACGTGATCACTTTCTGGTTTATTTTGAAGGGGATCATACGTTGATATACATATTTGTAATTTTGTTGTTGTTAGGCACTGTGCTGCACTACACTAGTTAGTGTGGGGAATTTCCAATCGTGAATTAATTAGAGTCAATTTCGGCATAACTTTCTAGAATCATATTGTAGATTATCCACTGGAGACTCTCAGAAGATCTGAGTCACGTGCTCGGCAACCACTGTCTCGTGTGAATTTAACTGGTTTACCACGTCCTTTATGGCGTAAAGCCAGCGAAATTCACACCCGTAGTTTTTCAAAAATTTACG